GAATTTTTTTTTTTTTTTTTTTGTGTGTGTGTTTTTGACAAATAAGCTTTGTTTGCACAAGCTTTTAAAAAAGTACTTTTGAGTGTCATATTACCAAAAATATAGTATTAAGGTTCATTTTATAAATAGATAAGTAATTTTAAATTTTTTTATCTGAAATGCTTTAGTTAAATTTTCTTAATTTACTAGTTAAAATCTGAAACATAAAATAAAGAGAGTATATATTAAGGTTTTTAATTAATAGAATTATAGTTAAACAAAAAAGAAAGATGAAAAGAGGTTTATATTTATATTTAAAAATTATATGAGTTAAATTAATGAGAGATGGTTTGTAAATATCATTTTTTAATAAGGATATTTTTTTCTTGAAAGAATGATTTTTATGATTCTGCTTCTTCGATGAAGCATAAACTCGTAGCTCTTCTAACAGTAGAAAAACTGCTTTTGCTGCTACTAAATAGGTTGTCGGTATATATGTAAAAAATATGAACTAGAGTAGAGGCAGACCTAGAATGTAAATATGGTAGGGATATATGAGCGAACTGCTCAACCAGTACCTTATTTGATCTTAAGAATCTTAAGTAAATATATGACCATTTTTAACATATATATACACTTATATATTAAGGTTTTTTACCGAATGTAATGGAATCCAGTGACCCTCTTCTACAAGCATAGGTCAGTCTCTGAACTAGAGTAGTCTAGCTTGAATGGATCTTTTGGCTCGAAACAAGTAAATTGACCCATATATGTTGAATTTAGGATATAATTCAAATTCTGTATGAGCCGATAGCTACACAATTTCTTCTCTGGCAATAGGTCGATTGGCTTTGGCCTTTTATAAATTTGTTTTTAGTTTTATGATTCTACCTCTTTTTTTACACATGAGAGATTTACTTTTACGTATAAAAGATCTTTTATTTACATATAAAAGATCTAAAAAAGATATTTTTTTTAAATTTAATATTGTAAAAAGCCAAGAAATCCTAAAACCACTCTGGCAACAGGGGTCTAAACTAAGCTTGTCATTTCCATTTCTGCGTCGTCTTATACATCTACGCCTCGTCCGGTTTCTGCTTGTTTGTTACTAGCAGTCCTTAGTACAACCTGCAGTAAATCAGAGGTTCCTCATAATTAAGCCTCCTCACATTTTTAATTTAACTTTCATTTTTCTTTCATTTTTCAACTATTAGTAGAGTTTAAACATTATAATAGAGCAAGGCAAATGAGCACTAAGAAACCTCACAAATGAAATTAAATTGTAATAACACTATTAATAAGCGGGAATAAGCACACAGCAGATAAAAATGCCTGCTTGGTACCTCAAGGGTGTTTTGGTAAATTCAATTAAAATGGAGCAATGTGATTGGCCTAAAAGGTATCTTACTGTAGCTGCCATATAAATCTTTGATTTGACTTGACGAAATTGCCGCTTGTTTATCACATCATACATCACCATAGTTTCCAAAAGCTTTTATGGAGATGTGGGTCCCATTTGAGTTTTGTTTTACACGTTTCTGTCATTTTGCATATAGCTATTTGTATTGTACAAACTCATTGAAGAAATGGGCCCATTTAAAGTTCTTATTCATATCTGACTAATGCTGCTTTGATTACTACTGGGTGCAGTCTTACACTCTTATCTATAGGTAAAAATTAGTAATCCGTCCATTCAATTTATGTGAACTTATTTGATTGTGCACGGAGTTTAAGAAAAAATAAATATTTTTAAAATTTGTAATCTTAAACAAGTCAAAAAGGGATCTAGAGTATTAATGTGGTTATAAAAGTTTTTCATTAAGGGTAAAATTATAAGTTTAAGCAAAATTATTTCCAAATTTAGAAAGGAATCATTCTTTTTTGAACGAATCAAATAAAAAATAAGTTCACATAAACTAGAACAGAGAGAGCATTTGATTTGAAGTACTGTAATTTAGTTTTAGTGCACTAAAGGTGAATTAAAAGTGAAAAACTACATAAAAATATTTAGAATTCTAATGATCTTATATACGTATATATTAAAGCATAATTTAGGTTATCATCTTTTACGTCGAATACTTTTATTTAGAGAAAATAGTATAGAAAGATATAAAGAGAGTACTTGAATGAGAAAAAAATAATAGAATATTTAGCAATATATATGAGTTTAACACAAATATCTTAAGGTTAGATTATATTATTAGTAGCTTTTATTCATTTACAGTTGTATATGGAGAATGCTTAATTAATGTAAATTCTATTTAGGACATCATCAGAAAAGGTGAAAAAAGAATTATTTGAAGTTGAAATTTCATAAAATTTAACTTTCGCCTTCTCACAAATTTATAAGTATCATGTCTAACTCATATTTTGGGCTCATGTAGTCTCGAATTTTTCCTTCTCAAACCTGAATTTCATAGTAAATAAAAATATATATTTTATCGTAGTTTCTTTTTAATTAAAACTCATATGTCTTTCCGTCATAATAAAGAAAAATATATCTAATTATCTCCTGTCATCCTCCTTGCCTATCTGGGGCATTTTTGGTATTTATGTGCTTTAACGCCATATATTTTATACTCTGCCTTTATTTATTTGACTAGACAAAATGCTGAAATAGTGGTCTCCTTTAATTTGCCGTTTATACGTTCAGCAAGGTTGAGGGCTATTATGATTCATGGGCCCCACTATTATTTCACTCTATAATTTTACAATTTGCGTTCCTATGCACATGTTTAGACTAATGACTATGTGAACTTCAGTTAAATTTATCACCTCACATCCAACTACTCCTTGAATCAATAACAATATACTCAATATATTTTTATAGTATGTGATCTAGAGAGAATAATGTATACGTAGATCTTACGTTTACCTCGCAAAAGTAAAAAGATTATTTCAGAAAGACTCTCAACTCAAAAGAAGCAATTTACATCAGGTTTGAAAAATAAATTTTTCCTTAAATGAGTACACTAATTATGTAATGTTTAAATTATGTAAATAGTTTTTTCTCTTACTTTATAGTTTAAAAGCGAGTAACATTTTCTATCTTACTATTCTATTTGATATTAAAAATAAGCATAAACAGAATATTAACTACTATAATCAAGCAAAATACAAATTATTTTACAAAAGACTAATCCTTAAATATTACTACGCCATTTCAAACCAAAACATTGAGTTACTTTTATTAATTGTTAATTAAGCTATTCTCATTTAGAAAAAAACTTGCTCAAACTTAATTTAAAATACTAATTGTGTGTGTGTGTGTGTGTGTATATATATATATATATATATNAAAAAACTATTTCAGAAAGACTCTCAGCTCAAAAGAAGCAAAATTTACATCATGTTTGAAAAATAAAATTTCCCTTAAATGAGTATACTAATTATGTAATGTTTAAATTGTGTATATAGTTTTTTCTCTTACTTTATAGTTTAAAAGCGAGTAACATTTTCTGTCTTAATATTCTATTTGATATTAAAAATAAGAATAAACAGAATATTAACTACTATAATCAAGCAAAATACAAATTATTTTACAAAAGGCTAATCCTTAAATATTGCTACGCCATCTCAAACCAAAACATTGAGTTACTTTTATTAATTGTTAATTAAGCTATTCTCATTTACAAAATAACTTGCTCCGACTTAATGTAAAATACTAATTATAAATTTATGTATATATATATATATATAAGAAGAATTGAGTAATCTAATTAAGAAATAATACAGACTCAAATTAGAACTCACGGTATTACTGTTCAAGCTGCATTAATTTCACCATTTGGATCTTCGTGATTATTTTGAATGTTAAGTGAACATTTCAAGGTGCAATTGTTCAAACAATTATCTTTAATTTAAGAACTTAATGAGAAAAGTCTATAAAAAGAAAGAATAGAGTTGGT